GCTTTACAGTGCTTTTCAGCCCTTCTCTAAGCAGTTTACAGAGTCAGCCTCTTGCCCCCAACGATCTGGGTCCTCATTTTACCCACCTCGGAAGGACGGGAGGCTGAGTCAACCTGAGTCAAAGCGAACTTGCTTTGGACACCCGAAGAGAACGAACATCCCTTTAACTCCTGCGGTTGGGCAAAAACCACCTCAATGATTCAGTGCCTCTTTAGATCCAGGTGCAGTTCTTACCAGCCGGTAAAAATTGAGGCGACAGATCCGTCTCTGCAGCCGATGAGATAGCATAGTAGGAAGTGTATGAAGAAATAATTCCATGGACTTAAAAAGACAGCTTCTCTAATGCCAGTACATTCTGATCTTGGTGCTTTAATGATTTATCAGTTGTTACAAGAGCCAGAGTAAAATGATAAATTTTATTGGGCCGGCTAATTACCTGTGAACATTGCTGGCTGTTGAACTCTCTAACCTCTTGGTGCGCTCTTGAACTATGCAAACCTATCAGCAGAAATGCATCATAAAAAGGCCCACGGGGACTAACGCAATTCAAGCTAGGAAAGCCAGTTTTCCCTCCAGATTGGACTTCTCATGTCGAAGCTAAAGAGAAACACATCCTGAAAGGACACCAGGATGGGAGGTTGCTCCAAATGTCATTCCTCAATAGGCATTTCCCTACATAAGTTGGCACACTGTGATCTTTCAAGAGGGAAGCAGTTGATTGTTTCACATGCATATCCCTTTATATTATGGACCTTTGTATCTTCCTGAGATATATGTGCGTAAGATGTGATCACCATGGCCATATCTTGCCTGCTGTTTTCTTGCATGTGAGAAAGCAGTGCTTGGGGGCTTAAAATGATCCTGTGGCCATAAGATATGGGATTGGGGGAAAGAAAGAAAGCTAGCAAGCCAGCTTTTTCAACCTCAAGGACTGCTTATGAATAAGTCTCTGTCTGGCTTGGGACACAGTGAGTTGAGTCCTGCAAAAAAATAAACACCACTGGACTGGCCCAGTTCTGCAGGCTGGGACTCATTGGATGGAATACATGTTTTTTCCCCCCCATATCCATCATTATAATTGTTCATAGAAAATGATTGCTCAGTCAGAATAGAGTTGGAAGGAGCCTTGTAAGTCATCTAGTCCAGGGGTCGGCAACCTTTTGGACCTCAGGGACGACCAAAATCACAATTTTAAATCCTGCGGAACAGAGACCCTGGGAAAATCGCCCCAAAAGTCTGCAGGAAAATCCCCCACCCCCATGTTGTCCTACTGACTGATTGTTCTTTATTTGGGATCACAGGATACCGTCTTCAGCTCCGTTCTCGGGGAGAGAGAAAGAGAGACTTTTGGCTTCATGCAAGGAAAGCAGCAGAAGTCTTTCTTTCTCTCCCCCAAACT